GTACCATAATCGTCCTTCTATCAACGAAAGTGACATGTGGCCAATAAGTTCCTGTAAAATAGTCCTTTTTTTCTTTAATTGATGACTTAGAAAAGAGTACATAAATTTTGACAAGTTGGCATTTTTTTTACCTTATTAAGTCATATTTTCTCTTCTCATCTCTTACTGTTCATCTTTTCCACTATTGACCTTCTACTTTTTATCTAAATTCCTGTTCACCAACCTTCCTCTCTAGCTCTGACCTTTTATTTCTCACTTTTTACTATTCATCTTCTCTAGATTTTCTTCTTAACCAATCATAGGAGAACTCCCTCCAATACAAATTCTTGCACAAGAGAATCGAAATAGAATACACACCCAATCAACTCATAAAACCCCATTAAAACCTAGCTCGAATACCAAAAGATAAACACACATACAAAAAGCCATAGCTCAAGTATATATCAAAATCAACAAAATTTAAAATTTTGAAATAAAAAAGTTTCAGAAATTGGGAAGATCTATACTAGCTTCATTTCAAACCAAAGAAAGAAAAGAAAAAAGGAAAGTAAAAAGTAGACAAACACAAATCCGGGTTAGAATCTTGAGCTATTGTCCATTGGCAATGAGGCCAAGGAACCCAAATCTATGTTCTCTCATACACCGGCCTCATGCTTGCTTCTCATTGGTCTCTTCTTGGAATGGAAATTGATGTGGAGAGAAGGAGAGCCTACAAACCCTAATTCTAAATCAATTGAGCTACAATATGTCACTGGGAAGTAGATACTGCAAATGCTAATTGATCAAGTCTCTCTTTCACATGAGAAAATCACAAACAACAAAAGATCAACAGAAAAGGAAAGGATTCACTAGCAACTATCCCACTTTCCTTTTAGTGATCTCACAGTGATCATGTGTTGATCGAGAGTTAAGAATCACCAATAACAGAGAAGAAAGGAGATGGAAAGAGAGTGGAGATAAAAAATTTAAGAGGAGGAGAAATGAAAAGGTAGTAGATGTGAAGAAAAGCAAGAGGAAGACTTAGATGGAAATTAGATTTTTTTGGATTCTAGGTTACGCATATGTATGTATATAAGTTGGAGATGGTGATTAGAGTGATGTCTAGAGATGGTGATCGAAATGATGAGGGATTATTAGAGTTGAGAGAAGAAAAAGGGTTACAAGATGACAAGGTAAATGCATTTTTACGAGGAAAAAGAGAGAGGAGAAGAGGGAAAAAGAGAGGCTGGAGGATGAAAAAGGGAGGCATTTAAGTAATTTAAATTTTTTAATGTATAAACTAATTAAAATGATTAAGTGGGAACTATAAAATTATAATAATCTAATGTGGAAGAGAAAAAAAATACCACATTATCAAAAGACACATGTTTTTTTACATGTCATTGAAAAGTGTATCATTTTTTAGGAACCTAATGGCCACATGTCACTTCTGTTGATAGAAGGACAATTATGGTACTAAAAATTGAAGTTTGAGGATAGCTTTGTTACTTTTAAAGTTTAAGGATAGATTTGGTTCAAAAATAAAAGCTGAGGGACCAAGTTGGGCATTTAACCTAATTTGAAAGCCGATTTTGCAAATTAAACCAATTGTTTTTTTTTTTCCCAACAATCCTTAGTTTTTAACTCTCTCTTTACCAACAGCCAAAGGATAAAGCTTTGCATTGGTGGGATGCATTTAATCTATATCAATAGACAACAAGCACTAGTCCACTGTCCTTTTCCCATCTATCAATAAATTATAACATTGTGAGATCCTTTCCATAACAGCCGGACGCCTTCTTTGGAAGCTAGTTGGCATATTCCCTCTACCATGTAAAATCTAATGTGATACTAGAAGAACGGCTCAGGCTGTAATTTCATGAGACAATTCAGCTATCTCCACTAATCTAATCTCACCCAACCAGCAACCATAAAAGAAGAATGTTTGGCGCCCATCCCCATCCTCCATTCCAATTTTTTTTTTTTTTAAGTGAAAATATCATTAAATAAAACTAAGTTTTACAAAATAAGGACCAACACATGGTACAAGCATTCCAATAATGAGAATAACAGGAAAGATAAAAGATAAGAACGAAGTTAAGAGAAACAAAAGTATTCTCCATGAAAGCTCCATGCTTAGCGTTTGCGTCGGCAATTCCATTTGCTTCACAGTAGGTGTGCTTGATATGAGCACGCCCTCAAATCTTTGGATCAACAATCTGTAGCAAGTAACTAATGCATTGTAATTCCTATTTGCAACAGGAGCAACGTTACATTTAACATGTGAACAACAAATATAGAATCAACCTCCATTCTAATGTTATGTTTCAACATAGATCTCAATTACAACATTTTCCTCTAAGACCAAGAACAATCTTGATTACCGGATATTAATGTCTTTCAACTTTTCCTTGGCCCACTGCACCTTAAAGGACTCAAGTTCACTATAGACAGTCCATAAATGCTTACCCATAGTGGCCTTGTTCCACACCTTCACCTGCTAATGCCCAACCCACTTTCTGACCTAGATAAGCAAACATTTTCCAAGATAACTGCGCAATTCCTTGTTTCTCCCATAGCTACCAATTACCAAACCATAAGTAAATCCCACATACCCGCTCAGATTTTTTAATCACCTTGTTAAGGCGTATAAATAAACTACTCCAGTATACTTAGATTAGGAATAGCACAGACTTCAACAACTATAATCTCCTCCCAAAAGACAAACGCAAAATGGTTGCCCCAACCATCCATCTTCCTTTCGATTTCTCAATTAAAGGCTGGCATTCATACATTGAAAAATTAGATGGAATTAAACTGGCTCCCCGGTCTTTAACTAGTAATTTACCTTCTAGAAAAAGTCAACAATTAGTGTATACTCATTCAACATATAATATAACACAATCATTAAAAAATCCTGATATGTCCATAATCCTTCATTGTCTTGCAACAGAAATACCACTGAGGATAACTTGACTTTTATCAATATTAACCTGCAACCCCGAGACTACAGAAAATAAGTTGATTAGTTCTTTCAGGTTCCTACGAGAATATTCCTCAGCCTTACAAACCATCATAAGGTCATTAGCAAACAACAAATGGGTCAATTTTAATAATTATTTT